GGTGGTAGAGGAGGAAGGGAGGGAGAAGGGAACTGGTATCGTCATGTAATTCAATCTTGTTTGTAATTCAAATATATAAAAAATAAAATTAAAAAAGAAATAATGGTGCCAAAAAATGAGATAAATCTGTCTCTAATGCCTTCTCTATCTACACTGTTGTCATTTAGCATCCTAACTCTGACATTGAGAACCAACCAATACCATCCTATCTTCAAGTAGGTTCACTGGGGGCTAGACTCCAGAACTTATCATCCTAACTGCAAGAGAGGAATTGGACCATAATACCTCAGACTCCACATGGCTTCTTATAGAATTCCTTCAACTCTGCTCACTGGGGGCTGGAGTCCAGAACTTGATATCCTGGATGGTGATGCCTCAGTGAACCAAGCCATTCCCTTCTGTTTTCTATCATTCTAAAGTATCTAACAATGAAGACAAGGATGAATACAGATTCAGGCAAGCAGGCTGAGTCTGCCCTGGGCTATGGTGTGTTGCAAGGAGCAGCAGCTTTCCAGTTCTGCCTAGTCTTAAGTGAATAAGGCAACAGCCTTGACCTGAGTTACCCCATTTTGAGTATGCATGACTAGAAGTGACTCCAGGTCTTCTTTACACAAGGAAGCAACAGCCACCTGCCAACATACCTGGAGGCACAAGCTAACAATTGTTGATACTAATAAATAATACCTGAAAATATATCAAATCAGAAACCTGAGACACATAAGCTGATTGATCACACCAGATGTAACTTCCTACCTGGGGCTATAAAAGAAGACACACCCTAAGACTGAAACAAAGCAAGAATACCATCCAGTCATCCTGTCATTCAGTACAAGCCTCATCCAAGAAAACTGTATAGTGCAGGACTCCTACCTTGGGCTCCAGCTCCAGAGAAATTTCTCCTGCCAATGACTTTCACACAGCAAACTAACCCTCAAATGGCCTGCATTGGACCTGAATTGTACACCTCTGTTACTGCACTTGTAGTGTTTCTTTTCGGAGGCTTTCTTTTCTACAGGCTTTCCCTTACAACTGCATCACCTCACTGCCTCCAACATCAGGACAGCATCTCTGAACTCAGAGTCCTCTTTAACTCTTTCATAGACAGCCTGTGGCATGATTATCTAAAATGCAAAATGTGATCTGAGGATTAATATTAGTAATTACGGTTGGACTGAAAGAACCAGCAGCTGGGAGCTGGTTCAGGGGTAAAGTGCTTGCCATGCAAACATGAGGACCTGAGCTGGGATCTCCAGTACTTTTTGTAAAAGCAGGTGCTGTAGTGTGTTCTGAAACCCTACACATGGAGCAGCAGAGACAGGTGGATTTTAGAGCTTGACAGCTAGTCTAGATAATCAGCAGGCTCTGGGTTCAGTGAGAGACCCTGTCTCAAAGAGTAAGGTGGAGACTGGAGAAATGGGCTACAGTTAAAAGCACTGGCTGCTCTTCAGAGGACCTGGTTTGATTTCCAGTACCCACATGGTGGCTCACAATCATTAACTCCAGTTCCATGGGATCCAATGCCCTCTTCTGGCCTCTGTGGGTACTAAATGCATAGCAAAACACCCATGTATGTAAAAATAAAATAAATATTTTAAAATAAATAAAATTGAGAAGCTATTAATAAAGATACCCCAATGTCAACCTCTGGCCTCTTTATGCATATATACATATGTGCACACACACACACACACACACACACACACACACACACAC